TGCCACATGTTCTACAATTCATATAATTGTATACATACATATCTAGGTTCTAATATTTACAGTACAAATGGCTAGAGGTAGAGCGTTTGATTCAGACACGTCCTGCAGTGGTTCGCGTGGAGGTCGTGGCCTAGGACGCAGTACCCATGGACGAGGAGGGACTATCCCTCCTACTTCTTCAGGTACGTCTGGGGCTTCATCCTCTGCTCAGCAGCAAGTACTGACGCCATCACTTCCTTTTGTTCCTTCCTCTTGAACCCCAGTTTCTGGACCAGTACAGTCTTCACCAGCTGCACAGTCACCTACTGTACAAGCTTCACCAGCTGCACAGTCACCTACTGTACAAGGTAATCATAAATGTCATTACTGTCATTTCAATTATATATTAATTATTTATATGCATTTATAACATTTGTCACTTCTTTTGCAGTTTCACCAGATCCACATAACAGCCTCAGTTTGGTAGCGAGATAGTAAATACTTATTCACTTTTTCCTCTGTACTTGGTTTTGTTCAGATTTTGATGCTTTCGTCTAATTATATTTCACTTGTGTTTTTTTTCTCAGCATATATCCACCCTCTCGAGCATCGAGGCAAATTATGAGGATAATCAAGCTACAACTCCATAAAGAAGGATACACGAAGGATACACATGGGAATGTCATACCACAAAGGCGAGAGGACTTTTATAGGAAGAGTTTCAGGTACGCTTTCGGTTTAAGTTATGGCATCATTCAATGCTTTAACAATTAATCCAGATACCTCTTTTTTAATTGAAATTTTATTTTTTCATTTTTGCAGAAGCATTTTCTTTATGGGATGGGCCATTACGGCTACTGCTGAAAGTGGCCCTGGGAGAAGTTATGCGCTGATCGCTATGCTGACTTCACCTATAGGATGCGAAAAGTGGTAAGAAGCAGCAGTCGTGTCTTCAAAGAGATTGGGAGAGCTGGCAAAAAGGCTTGGGAGGATCCTACATTCAAGACGAAAGCGGGAGAATATTTGCACAAAATAGGCGCAGTTGAGACTGGCAGTGATGGAGGCAAGACCTTCTCGACATACAGGTGGATCAATATCTCTTACGAGAACAGCTTAATTATTAGTGAAACTAACTTAGTCACGTATATGAAACTGATGTTTAATGAAAAACACTATATTAAATATATCATTGCCTAAAAATTCATTACAGGCTAAAAAAATTCTTGGTTCGTGAGCCCACACGATTGAGTGTTTACATACACTCACACGAAGGACCACGTCTTGAATACGTTGTCGACAGACGTGTCGGTGAGCGTCAATAACAATGAAGAATATTTACATTTACCCTTTAGTCGTTTCGAATATGTACAAAGTTCAATATAATAAAGCTTGCAACTGCATTGATTAATTAATTTTTTATTTTCAGGGGAACTATACTATAGCTCGCAAGCGTCTTGTTTCTTCTCAGACTGAATCTGAAGCTGAGTCAAGAATTGATGAGGTAGCACTTTATCTCGAGGCTGTAGGAGGCAAGAAGAAGAGGAAGGTATATGGCATTGGGTCTCAGGCATTAGAGTTTTACTGCGGCTCAGCATCTCACACTTCTGCAGGCAGCACAGGACCACAGCTCGAGCACAGTGCCGAGGAGTTTACTGCATTATGGGCTCGTGTTGATGACCAGTAGAGACAGATTGTAGAACTTAGAGCGCATGTCATGCGGTTGTCGAGCGCCATGTCAGCGGTTGTCTGCGTCAGGTCCGGTGCGGTACTTATTCTCTGATCCTGCGCCTGCTACAGATCGAATTTTCAAACATCTCAGCAGCAGCCACTACGTTCCTGATCCAATGCTGCAGAACAATACCTTAGTCACTCCTGCCGACACTACCACACATCGTAGGTACTCCTCCCGGCGATTTCGAGCATTGGATCGTGGCAAATGACCAACCGCGATAGATTTGAATTTCAAGGACCTTTTTAGCTTTCTAGTGGTTTTTTGAAGTTTTGTTTAGTACATAACTACAATTAACAATTACATTTTAAATTGGTTTTTGGAATTGCATTTGTGATATATATATATATTATATATATATATATATATAATGCCAATGTTAATATGCCAATTTTAACAATTGCAAAAAAATTATGGTTTTATAATATTATTTATTATTATTTTTTGTATTTTGAGACAGATTTGTGACCGAACTGCAACCAAAAAACTTTAAAATTTGCAACCGATTTGTGACTACATTTCATAATTGCGACAGACTGTTTCTCCGACCAATTTGTGACAGCGTTTCAAAAGGAAAATACGACCAAATTTTGCGACGAGCACTTTTGCGACAGATGGTAATCGGTCGCTAAGTTTTATTAGCAACTGATTTATTGCGTTTTGTCAGTCGCAAAATGGCTTTTTTTTTTTTTTTGTACTGTACTATGATTCATTCTTTATGGACTTATCTCTTTGATGAGCTACAATTGTACTACCATCTTGTATTACTATAAATATTGAACTTTGAAATACTTTTCAGTGTACATGCTACTAATATGACACTATAATCTCACTGAGTTGACGACTCACTCAAGCGTCTGTGGTTTCAGGTGGAAGTGATCCAAATCCGTCAGCTTCTTGATTTCCTTCTTCCAACAAGAAGCCTGTGAATAATGTAAATAATTATTAGATATTATAAATTGATGATAAGTTATATGAACTCTAGTTAGTCCGTAGTACCTTTGTGAATGATATTAGTATGAGATGTATGTAAGCTATAATGTACACAGTATTATAATGGTGTGATTTATGATTATACAAAATGTATGAAAGATTGTATTCGATGATCCTGGGAATTAAATGAAAGTACATAAGTTGACTGTAGCTCACCTAAATAACTAATCAAGATAAGCAATATGTTGAATTGGATTAATTTTGTTGTGGATTCTATGAGGTACCCAGTACCTTAAACTTACCTAGACCCTAGGACCTCACACCATCAATTTTTAGAGTGTGACAATCATGATGATGGAGATGAAGAAAAAAAAAAGCTAACTATTAATTTATTATATTTTTGGTAGATAGTAGAAAACTGTAAATTCTTTATTCATTGCTTCATATTCATATGTGTGTATTAGTTATTTATAATTTTTTTTAATTCATGTAATTATTATATATATATATAATATATTTTCAAACAATATAAAGTTTGTAAAGATAGAGAAAAATAATTAAAAAATTTGCAGAAATTTTTAATTTTCTAAATTTTTTTAGGTTTTATTGGATTTAAAAAAATTTATATTAATAAGGGTAATGGTTGAAAGAAATCTAAAAACTAACTATAAAAATTGTTAATTTCATATTTTTATCCTTTCTTTTTTCCCCATTACGTTAAATTTGTACTTAACATCACTACATTGTCAAGAGAAATCTCTTTACTTAAAGTTATATATAGCAAAATGAACATTTTCACCTACCTATAATTAAAATAATATTTTTACTGTTGAATTTTATTATTTTTACTAGGGAAAATTATTATTTCATCCCTGAAGTTTGCCATAATTATTTAAGTAGTTATCGACATTTATACATATATTTATAACGTCCTTGAGGTTTGCCACCGTTATATTAATTGGTCCTTCCGTCAAAAAAATACATTTTTTCCATTAATTTTAAAAGGAAAAGATGAAATTATCCTTTGGAAAAATAATTATTTCGTCCCTGAGATTTGCCATAATTATTAAGTAGTCCCCAACATTTATACAAATATTTATAGTTAGTTATTTTATCTTTTTTTCAATGAATTGTTATATTTCATTCTTGTCCTTCTTTGCAAAATCCATGTAAATTAGGGATTTTTGCCAAACTAAAAAATGGAAAATAGCAAGATACAAGCAAACGTAATTTCAATTAAATCTATTTTTTTATTTTCTTTTAAAATTGGGTTTTATGTATATATATTTCGGGTTAATTTTAAAACTAAGCTACCCAAAATTAGACTACAAATTATATTTTATTAAATACATCCTATTTTAGAGAATACATCCAATTCTTCTCTTTGCTATTGAATTAGTGATCACTCTGTCTTCAAAAAATAAAATAAAAATAAAGATCAATCATTTTATGTTTAATCTTTATTCTTTCAAAAATGTTTTTAGTCATTAATAGTCAAAATATGAGAAAAATAACAAAAAAAACACCATTATTCGCCCCAAAATGCCAAAAAAAAAATAAAAATAAAAAGGAAAACACCATTATATGAACCAATCAAAATATACCAAGGACAATTTGAATTCTTGTAACCATATCTCTCATTAATAGTAATTCACTTGTAGAAAACTGGCGTAGTTTTCTAAAAATTTTTTAAAAAAATTAAAAAACAGAGTTTTATCTTCAAATCAGTCCATTTTTCTATTTGAAAAACTAAAACATAATTTTCTAGTTTTTCAAAATTTAACTAAGATTTAAAAAATAACAAGTTTTCCTTTATAACAAAAACCATATATTTCAACTGTTTTTTACTTTTTAAAAATGACATTTTCATAATTAAAATTATAATATTTATAAATAATTTCTTCTATAAAACATTTTCATTTAATAAAGTAAAAATATCTAAATAAAATAACATTTTACCCGCATTTTTAATTTTCTATCTTTTTATCAATAAGTTTAATTGGATTTTAGAAACTTATAATATAGCAAAACTCAAGAATTGAAGATACAACTATTATGATAAGAATTGATAATATCATTTTTTTTTCTCCTTTTCTCTTTCATAACATTAAAAATGTATTTAACATCATAATATCTTAATGCATGAAATGTTATCTTTTAACCCTAACTAAATTAAACTACCATTTAGAACAAAAAATAACTTTATAATATTTAAATAATATTGATGACTAATAATAATATACTATACACATGCTATATAGTAATATTACTCTTGTGACTAATGACACATTTTTACTATGAATCATGCAATTCTTATTATTTTTTAGCTATTTATATTGAGATTTTATAGAAATTATATAACATGTAATCTAAGTTTTCAAATAAGTACCAGTGACTATTTCTTCGCTGGTTAATTGAATCAATTATGGTGTTTTGGGAAGGTTATGTGAGTGACGAAGCAATGGGCACATTTGCCCCAATTGTGGTCTACTGGTTGTATGCTGGACTTTATCAGATTTTGCCACCGTTGGATAAATACCGGTTGCACACAAGAAAAGAGGAGAAAGAGAAGAACTTGGTACCATTGCCAAAGGTGGTCAAGGGTGTTTTGCTGCAACAGTTAGTTCAGGCGATAGTCGCCCATGGGCTCTTTTTGGTTCGTTATTTAACTTAAATAGAAAAATTTATATTTTCTATCTATGGCATGATGTTATGATATGATTATTCTTGCTAATGTAAATAGTGAGTAGAGAGGTTACTGAAAGAGGTTACTGAATATTCTTGATAATTACTGATTAGATAGGTTACTGATTATTCTTGATAATTACATGCAAATTTCAATCTATGTACAGAAATATAGGCCATAGAAAGAGGTTGCTGAATTAGAGAGGAAAGGAGGACAGAGTGCTGCTTCTGATGTTATACCGAGGAAAGAGATTTTAAGCTTAATTTTATCTAGAATGGCTGCAAATTAACTTACCTTAGTGATATATTATACACTAAACATTTGAAAATATGATGGAAGAATTCGGAATACAGTTTTTGTATCACCTAGGACCTTGCTTTGTGTGATGGACGTTCGTGATAGCCTCTCCATGGAGGAGTAGCAATTATCTTTTGGTACATGGAGCATTTTTTCTAATCATAATTAGAGTGATTAAGCAGAAGTAAAATATTTGCACCGAGTTTGGTTTGTGGAAGGAGCAGGAAACCAAGGTTAGATTAAACGGTATGATGGTGCCCAAGTGCAAACAAGTCAAATATTTAGGCTGTGTGTTCCAGAAGGGAGTCTCATAGATGATGATATTTCTTATGGAATTCAAGTACAATGGATGAAATGGAGGAGTGCTACTGACGTACTATGCGATAGGAAGATATCTAACAAAATGAAAGATCATCTCTATTGGACGGTGGTGAGACTGGCAATACTATCTGAGAGTGAATGTTGGGCACCGAATACTCAACATATTCACAAGATGGATGTTACGGAGATGCGAATATTGGGATGGATGGTGGTCACACAAAGTTGGACAAAATTAGGAATGATCACATTAGACAAAAGGTGCAAGTAGCAGATATTGTAAATAAAGGATTCATATAGCCGACTCTAATTAGTTTGGGACTAAGGTTTAGTTGTTTTAATGAAGTGTTATTCTTCCAGTAAATATTTATGAAAAAATTTTGCATATGAGCATAGCTGAATCCTTAGATGGGGGATTGTTTGTAGTGGGTGTGGTAGCTTGGAAAGAAGCAAATTTTTAGGTTTAAAGTGGGCTCATATTAGATGATTAATAGTTAAAAGAGTTTTTTTTTTTTTTTTTTTTTTTTTTTTTTTTTTTTAGTTTAAAAGAGTTTTTTTTTTTTTTTTTTTTTTTTTTTTGTTTTTTTTTTTTTTTTTTTTTTTTGATTTTTTTATTGCAGCTTTTGTTTACCATGGAAATACAGTTTGAAAATTTGTCCTTTTAATATTTGACTGTCTTTGAAATGTTTTAAATGCAGATGCTTGGACTTGGAAATAAAAGAATTTAACAAGAATTATCAAATTTAACATTTCAACTCAATTTTTTTAAAAGCCTGCAATTCTCGTTAATGGCATAGGCATGCTAGTTTACAACAGAATCTTCACAATTTTCAAAATTACTTTTGAGATTTTTCCTTAACAAAAATCTTGTGCAAAAAACCCTGCTTCATTCCTTCATGATTGATTTCTTAGGATTGGAAAATGGAATTATGACTAATGAAGCATCCTGATTGAGTAATACTTGCTTTGAACTGTATGTGGTATGCGTATTTTCACCCAGGTTTGTAAAATGCTCATTCTAGTACCTAAGAGTGGAACTCAGCACATATATGCTACCTGCATAACGCTGTGGCATCATTGCTATGGAGTCTCATGAGAGTAGCGGTATGGAAATCAACAGCCTAACTTCTAGCAATTTCTGAATGAGGCTGGTTAATGTCTATATAATTGTTATTGGCGTTGATTATGTTTGGCCTGCATATGCAGCATGTTCCCTAAAATTGTTTTTATTTTTTTATGTTTTTGGAAAACCTTCCATTTTTTTTCCTTTTTGAAGCCAGTCAATCAAAAATATTGATTTCATACTATCTTTTATTTTTCACTTATCCTATTAAATATTATAGGTTGGACAGTTGAGGAAAACACATTTGTGTTTATCTGTATCTTGTTTTATTTTTTCTTTAAAGATTTTTTGGATGCTTGTAAGAGATTCTCCAAAGAACAAATGGATAATATATTGGCATTAGACTTCATATATCTGGAGAATTTATAGAAGGCCCAGAAACTTTAACATAATTATTGTTCCTGAAGTTGTCTCATGCGTCCATTGTTATTAAAACACTGTACGCAACATAAAAAATTTGCAAAAAAGCACATAATACAGCTATCTCACCATATCTAGATGTTGCAACTTGCATATGATGCTCCCGCTCCATATCAAAACTTGACAACAAGATTAATGTCCATAAACCTTTGAATTTGGTATTCTACAGCCACATCTTAGCATTTAATTTGATACACTTAAATGATATAATTTTGGCATTCTTTCTGTTTCTTACATCTTCCGAGTTCCAATTTGAACACTAATGTCACATCTAATTATGTTTTATAATGAAATTTTGACTCATATGTTATTTAAGGAAACTTAAACGTCCTGACTATAATATTACTGTTGTGTTGTGTGTGAAAAACTTTTATCTCTAGTTGTTTCTCATATAATAAAACACCTTCATACCTGTAGCATATATCCTTAAGACTGATGGATATATATTAAAATTTTTAGTTATTTATAGTTTGATGCTGTCATCATTTTATGATAACATGCATCTCCTGGACGTTTAATTGTTCCAGGTTATATTTAGTGATAAAATGTTGGTCTTTTGCTTTCAAATTCATCATTCCAAGTAAAGAACTAACGTGTGAAAGAGTTGCACTAATTCAAAATATTGGCCATTCTAATATTTAGTTTGTCTTTGGATATTTAGCTATGGATTCCATGGAAAAGAGTTTTTTGTATCTTCCATAGAGGATTACATGGTGATATGCATATATGGGAGAGGATGGGGACTAGTAAGCATGTCCTTTATTACTTAAATTCATACATTATTTCAAGGTAGATCCCATTCACTAGTTCTCATTAAGATGGCTTTATACTGTGAGCACTATCATGTCGGGGAAAAAAAAAAACAAAACAAACTGGTGTTTTTTTCTAAAATAATCCAATCAGTTAGTTTTACTTTAGAATAAATTGGTTAATTCGGTTAAAAAGATAAAACTAACCAAATTGAACCTAATTGTGTATATTTATACATTGTGTGTGTTTGTGCATGAGATAAACTGAACCAGAATTTGTAAAACTCCAAATTGAGCTGAATACTCGCTCATATTTCCCATTGATGCACTCATTAAATGTTATTTTATGGAATTTTGACTAGATCATAGCATGCCATGGATATAAGTACCAAAGCCCCATGAAACCTTTGTGGAAAACCAAATTGATGAATGTTTAGTATCTTCAATTTAGGGATCTTATTTATTCAACCTGATGATCTTTTAGTTTGTCAATATTTTCAATATCACATGACACTTTCTTTTTTAAGCTCCTATTTACTTTTCTTTTATTATTGGGTTGGGATTTTTTCCTTTTTTTTTTTTTTTATTATTGGCTTGGGGATTTTTTCTTTTTTTTTTTTTGGGGGGGGGGGGGGGGGGGGTGCTGGGGGGCAAGCGTGGGGGGTGCTGGGGGGGCAGGTGTTCGTGCTCAGAAAGATTGTATGATATCTTTTTGAGTCTGAAAAGTGAATGTTTCCTTTTATTATATTTGTGCAGTCCTACATATAAACCTTGAGTTATATAATTTATTGTCAATATGTTATGTGAACTTTGAGCTTGCATGTACGTATTTTATCATGCTGGTAGCATGAATTTTGCTGGCTAAGGAATAGCATTGTAAAAATTCTTATTGAAATCAGATTTCAAATTACTAAGAAAAGAAAAAAGATCCATTCTTTTTGTTGCTAGCTACTTGATGCATGCGGAGGAACATTTTTAGATATCGTTATATTGTTGAACCACTATCTTTTCTTTAAATTTTTAATATCATGACTAGGATTCTTAAATTTTTACCTTTTCCTTCTTGGTGTTTTCTTGCTTTTCCAAAAGAACTTGTTTTGTTCCATCACCTCTTGGGATGCTATTTCAACATCCTCTCTCCTCTCCTCCTCCTTTCACAATTGATCTTAATTCTCTTAGTCAGCTAGGTTCACATTGGTTTATATCTTGATTGCTTGCTGCTGAGCACGACTCCCTTTTAGCTTTCATGTTCTTGTTCTTATAATGTGATGATAAGAAGCAAAGCATAACATTGCTGGATTGGTAGGTCTAGCACCTGATTTGTATTTGATTAGCTACTGGAAATTTACTTTGATAAAACATTTTTTTTCTTTTTTTTTAAGAAAAGAGAGATCTAAGACAGAAGTCATTGCAACTTCCAGCTTCCTATCTTCACCTGGCCAAATTCATTTCATTTAAACTCGGCTAGTAGAACTAATTGAAGTTGTTTCATTTGTATTGCTGAATTAAGAATGAATGAAAGGAACCATAGCCTAATGCCTTCCTGAGTGAGATGCCTACTGAGCCTATGAAAACTAATTAGAGATCTTACATGGAAAATGCTTTTTATTCATAATTTTCCATTCTGTGCTCTGCTGGAGGTAATGTTGGTGTTTGAATGAAAAATCCTGTTTCTATAAAGTTGCTCGGTAAAAGCTGAATGGAAGATTGCTTGGTCTGTTTGATGACTTGACATGTTATTAGTTTTGTTCTCTTGCTTTTGCTTTTGGTGCATTAGTTTTGAAAGAGACAGTGCACATTAGTTGACTCCTTGATGTTGGATACGTTAAGCAGTTCTTGTCTGACATGAGGATATCAGCTAGTTACTGAGAGGTTGGTAGGATCTTCGATGATAAGAATATCAATTATTTGATAATATTATTTGAATTGAAATATTTTGTGAATTTTGAAATACCTGCTGATTTTTTATTTTTATCAATCAATGATTAACTTTTAATAGTCCTGCTCTTTTGCTGCAGTTGACCTCAACGATGGATCCATCTGGGGTCATAGTCCAGCCCTCCATTCCTATCCAAATCATGCAGATTATTATTGCTATGTTCGTGATGGACACATGGCAATATTTTGTGCACAGGTATATGCATCAGAACAAATTCTTATACCGCCACATCCATTCACAACATCATAGGCTAGTTGTCCCATATGCAATTGGGGCACTTTATAATCACCCACTGGAGGGTCTATTGCTTGACACAGTAGGTGGTGCCATTTCCTTTCTAATATCAGGAATGACTGCACGAACCGGAGTAATTTTCTTCTGTTTTGCTATCATTAAAACTGTAGATGATCACTGTGGACTTTGGTTGCCTGGCAATATATTTCACATTGTTTTCCAGAATAACACTGCTTACCACGACATCCATCATCAACTTCAAGGCACAAAGTACAATTATTCTCAGCCATTCTTCTCAATATGGGATAAAATTCTGGGAACCCACATGCCTTATGATCTAGTTAAGCGAGCCGAAGGTGGTTTTGAGGCAAGGTTGGTGAAAAAAGACTAGTTCAAATTTGATTATTTTCTGTCATTTTGAAATTATCACTTAACAGAGAAATATTCTTTTCGGTTGAGACTAAAATTGTTGGAAAGTTGAATTAGAATTGGTTGTTAATGCATTTATGTTCGTAGGCTTTCTAGCATAAGAGTGGTTTTGGGTGTTCAACCATCTATTCTAGTTAATTGGCTGTTATTCATGTAGTTGGTAATGGTAATTTTACCAGCCTACCTGATGAATTGTAACTGTTGCGTTCTGTATGTAGCATATTTATTTGTTCTAACTTGACTTAGTTGCGTTGCAAGCCTGATTCAGTATTTAATTTTTATTTGATTACTAATGTATTCTATATGACAAATAATATTTGTCTTAAAAAAATATTATATTGGAATTTATTTTACTATATTTGAAAAATTAAAGGCTCAATACATAAATTCACTCTTATATCTTATGTAAAAAAAAATCTGTGGCACATTCAATTTTTATGTTCAAATATTAAATACTTTAACTTATAAAATCGTATTTATTAAATACTTCAACTTGTAAAACTTATTCTGTTGAATTCGCAAATTTGTGAAATTGGATCGATTAAATATTTATTTGATAAGATAGTTAAAAAATGTCAAAATTATTGTTTCAAACATATCAAGTGAATATTTTGCCATATCAAAAATAATTATTATTGATAGTATGGAAAATGATACAATTTTACCAAAGTTGTAATATTAGAGGTATAACAAGCTCCTCAAAAAGTTTGCATGCTATGTAAGGTTTTTTTTGGTAAGTAAAATGGTAAATTTATGCATTGTTATACATTAAATTAATTATTTAATGATAAACAGAGATTCAAGTAGTTCTACAAACCAAATTTGAGTGTTATATATATATATAATCCTAAATCAAAAAAAAAAAAAAAAAAAAAAATTCAAGTAGTTCTACAATGACCAAAATTTGATGTGTTATATATATATATAATCCTAAATCCACAAAAAAAAAAAAAAAAAAAAAAAAATCAAAAACCTTACTTGGCGCTTTTTCCTTTTGAGTATTTCCTTTTTTCCTTTTTTTACAAATTTTTTAAATTTTAATTAATTGTTAAACATTTCTTTTCTCATATCTAATCTAATGTATAGAAATTTTAAATGTTTAATTCTTTAAAATTTTTGAATTTTAAAATTAAAACTTTTAAATCCTTTGAATTTTTTTGAATTTGGAATTGAAACTTTTAATACCTTTGAATTTTTTTTCTTATATATATACTTATATCTATCTATATATACTATCATATTAATCAATTTCAGTTATTTTCTTTCACGGTAGTCTTTTTTTTTATTTTTTATTTTTGGGCTGAGTTTTGATTGTACTTTCTCTATTTATTTTATATCATTGCCTTTTCTTCTTTGATCAAGGTAATGTTAACTCTTCGATTTTTTCTTTTTCTATTTTTTAGTCTTCTTTTCTTGTGCATCCCGTGATTTCTCCTATCTTTAATCTTTGTTTATTTAATAATATTTTCTTTATTATCTGTCACATGTGTGTAGTTGCAGGTATAAAAAATATCATATTGATGGAGATGAACAGAAGTAAAAGTTAAATATAAATCCATTTATGTATTTTTTTTTTAAATGTATTATATTTTTAGCAAATTGTGTATAAGCTGTAAATTTTTTTATTTATTGATTCAAATTCATATATTCTATATAAGTATATATATTATGATATATTAATTAAAATATAGAATATATTATTTAATTTATTTTTATATTTTTAATTCAATGTAAATTATTATTTAATAATATATGTTATTTTTGAATTATATGCGTATATTTAAGTATTATGATATGGTTGAGTTTTTGAGTTGAAAGGTTCACTAAAAATAAATTATTAATGAGTAGAGAAATATAAATATAATATTTATTTATTTATTGAGTATATTAGATTGTTATTGTTTAATGTCATTATATATATGCCATTTAGATCAAAGAAGAATTCTCCACTATTACAGTGTATATAATATAAGATATATCTACTACAATAGTATAGTTTAAGTATCATATTATTAAACTCAATAAACTATTTTTAAATAGCAAGTTTATACATTAAACATATAATTTATGAATACAGGGATTGGGTACCTCTCAGTTTTAGTATAATTTATTTGTATTTAAATTTTATTTTATTATCTAATATTAAAATATTGATCTAAGCTCATATTTTTTCAAATTATATTCATTAACATAGTAATTATCATATCTTTATTTCAAATTTAGATTTTTATTTTTTATTGATTATTTAAAGATACTTTTTAATTAATTATTATTTATTTTAAATAGTTTATATTTCATTTGATATCTAATTTTTTTTTTATTTTGATTTGAATTGGTTTAATTTTTTATCCATTTTTTTTATAATATTATTATATTGATTTATATCAATTTATAGATGGAATTTTTTTTTGTATGTTTTTTAATTATAATTTTACAAAAATTAATTTAACTATACTTATTGTCTTAGGACTTTTGTATTTTTACCCTATAGTTAGTTCTATATTGATATATATATATATATATATACCTTATTTTATTATATATATATTATTATATTAATTATTTATTTATTTAATTTATTCGAAGTTGGTGAAGATTTATTTATTTTTTTTTAAATATTTTATTTTATATGTATAACAAAAGTGAACTTTTTTATACATATGTACATTAATTAAAGTAAAACGAACCTGCGAAACGGAGCGGCTTCAACCTAGTTTAAATTGATTTGAATCAGTTAATCTTGAATTTTGCGCTTTTTTGTATATTGAGTTCACGTTGCATATCCTGCTATGTACAATTTGTCTTATCTAAATAGCATTTACGGTTCTAGATGCAGGAATCAGAAAGCAACCGTTAGGAGGAAGATGGTGTTATTAATTTTGTTCCTATATCGGCTTCCAAATTGACTCGTAAAAATACAGTAAGTTTTCCTTTTCTAAGAACACTTCAAATTTTTGTCAAATATTCTATAGTTCACCAGAATATCTCTGCGGAAGCATGAACTTCTTTGAACTATGAACTACGCGGATCCCTCACATAATTTTCTTCGATTATTATCTTGACATAAGCTTATACATACATGGACATCTCCACGTTCTAAGGTTCTTAATCACTTGGATTAGATTCTCATTAGTACTATCTAACCAAAGAAGCACAGCAATTAGCTCACATAGGGTGATGGCCACATGCATTCTCCTTATCCTCGTCTCCAATGTCAATTGAACAAATTTGTCTCTGCATTTCCTATCTTATTCTTTAAACTATATATCTAACTATCTATATCTCTCTCATTTCCTATGACTCTTGTTACAATTGTAAATTGTGTACTACCCTCTTTCTTACATAGTAGCTAAGGCCAGCACTTCTTATACTTTCCTTCTTCTTCATTGGGCCTTCTACTCTTCCGAACATCACCCTCTCTCCTTGCGCTGGCATAACATTAGATAACAAAACAAAATCACATATGTTGCCATTTCTACAAGTTTCTGTAAACAAGATTCTGCAGTTCTACATTTATATCTAAGTCTGCAGCACGCAGTTGCAAAGTACTATGTTCGGGCCATCATAGGCATAGCATTGATAACTCATAAGCTCTGACTTCCGGTCGGCAGACAAATCAACCACCTATCCATATGGCTTAACATTCGGTGTTACTCCATTCTTCCATTGATTTACAAACCTATACCCTTTCACAAAGCCTGATGGTTCAGCACTATTACTGCAAGATACGAACACATTCATCAGGGTTAATTCCAGCTCGATTCATTTGCTGAAGTCAGAGCTTTGTATCTTACCAGGATAGACAATGCCATTATCATTGCTGTCAAGTAACAAGACTCTTTCCAAACTCATACTTCGAAACTAATATGCTTATCCGATCCACATTTAGCTTACATTCGACTGCTTACACTTGAATTTCATATCTAATTTGTTCCTCCTATGTAACATGAGCCTTTTACCTTTTTAAAAGCACCATTGCGAACACGCAGACAGGAGTGGCCCATAAGGTATTTCATTGGTTTAAATCCCATAACTCATTCTTTTAACAAAGGTGCTTCAGCAGGTTACTTCCTGAAGCAACCCATCATCATGCATTAACGATGCAATATCTCTCTTGTCTTCATCATACCTTCTTTGCTGTCAAGTCGCCAACTTTTGCATATAAGTCAACAATGTTAGTTAGCAATAAGCATTCAGCCATAAACCCTTTTTTCAATATGGATGCACTGAATAGCTCTGAGAGAGCAAAACGCGCGCACACGCTGTTCAAAACAAGAAATTCAGGCGTCTACTTGCGTTAGACCCTTTGTACCATAAAGGCTTCAGTGGGAGATGGCTTTGTGATGAAGCCACGTAGATGGCACATTCAGTCGTTGTGACGTGAGTGGATTTGAGAGAGGTGGGATTGCAAAACGAGAGGTGTCAGTGACAGAGTATAAAGTTCGAGGTTTTTGAGCGCGAAGGGCAGATTTCGGAAATTGGATCGCGTGGTACTGAGATTGGGCTTGGAGTTGCCGTGCGTGAAAAGAGTTTGTGATTTGGGCCTTCAGAGGTGAGGTTGTGGCGATTTCCATGTTCATATCAGGTTCAGTTATCCTCCCGCGAGTATTTAACAAAAAAAAAAAAGGCGAGAAACAGGGGTTTCAATTGGTTTTGAATATTCTTTTTTGTTAAAAAAAAAATATGGCTTTGAACGTACCATCAAGGTCCAATTTAGGGATTTTAGATTAATATTGTGCTAATATTATTATGAGATGGAATAATAAAATGGCAATTTTTTTCTCTGATTCTTTTTTCAAATTGTTTATTGAGCCCATTTAATTTTGCAAGGTTCAACTTTGCCCATACTCGTTTTTTTGTTAGTATTTTTAACTTGAGCAAGTGGGTTTTTGCATGAATTACATTGCGCGTGGAAGTGTCATAACGTTGATGTTTTCATTTAGACGCCTATTGTGTTGTCACAAGTTCAGAATATACGAAGGAACGAAAATTAAATGATATTAGCGTTAATGCCTTCTTGCAATACATGCTTGAGATTGCACTGAAAAGCAATAATTCAGCACCTCCATTCTTGTTGATCCTTTCTCTCACAGGCTTGTTCCTTAATTTGCGTCTTTTGTAAGCAGTTTTTGGTGGAGAGGGAGTCGACATTGCATTGCTTCTGGCACAATGAGTCTCAATCTTCCCCATTTTTTTGGTTTGAGTTTAGGGTTTGTTGTGATTAGTGTTTATTGATGGATTTATAGTTTCTATATGTGTTTGTTGATTTG